AAATGAGTTGTATAAAAAATATAAAAGTATGGAACTTCCTATAATGGGTACCAAATTTCGTTGATAAAATACGTTTTAATCGAATGCTCTGAATTTTTACTATATAATTAAATCTATTCATACATGTACATGTATATAACAGGGGCGTAGTATCCGGGGGGCCAGGGGGGGCCTGGCCCCCCCACTTTTTTTCCCAACCTTACTTACACTATAGGAAATGTTAATTCAAAGCCTGAGTGGCCCCCCCTTTTAGCCCACTTTTAGAAATGTAGTGAAAATGTAGTATAAGAATTGGTACTAAAAGTAGTTGACACTGAAAAAAAGTTTACCTACCCCCCCCCCCCCCCCCCCCCCCCCCCCCCCCCCACGAAATAGGATTTTCGACTTCGGGCAACTTTTCCCTTTTTTTTTTTTTTTTTTGCTTGTCAACTTTTTCAGGTAAGTAAAAAAAAATTTTTCTCTGCCTGGCCCCCCCACTTTCAAAAACGATGCTACGCCACTGTATAAACAATCTTCATTACTACCAAAGTTCATTTCGAAATTCCATATATATTTCCCAAGATTTTCTGAAACCAATTTCAAAATTTACCTCTTTTAATTATGCACCCGGATCGATAGATCGGGGTCGCATATTGTTTTTGTCCTGTCTAGCTGTTTGTCTGTCTGATGTCAACGTTAACCTTCGTATTTGGTATGTGTACTCGCTCTTTCAAACGACACCAAGGTCAATGACCTTGTGACCTTGACTGTGACCTATATGCTAACAACAGCTTTTTCGGACTTCACTTTTGAATAGAGACTTCTTTGCCTGACTCGTGACTGTATAAGGATTGAGATTTCCAAAATCCGAAACAGTGCTCAATGTTCAGAAGCACACAATAAATAAGAAGGCAGTGAAAATCTTGGATTCTTTTTTCCACAAAGGCCTAAATATTAAATTTGATTATTTCATTATCAATATATGATAGTGTCACTAACCCCCCTTGTTTTTAATAGAAAAAAATAATAATGATCACACATTACTACTGTTTACTTCAGAGGAGAAAATACACTCCGACAAAATGTGTATTTAATTATATCCATCTTTTAAGATGTTATCAATAGATGATTTGATATAACAGATTTTATAATAGGTGTTACAATGTAGCTTGAATGAACTCAATTTAAATCCAAGGGCAGATCACTCCACTTGCAGACCCCCCCCCCCCCCCCTTTCCGAATAACAACTCTTTAGTATGCACAGACAGTAGAGATATTTCTTCTACAAGTTAAATAAAATCAAGATTTCAATTACACAAGGTTCTCAAAATATAAAGCTGGGATATGTTTTAAACCCATAAAAGTATTGCTCAAATATAATAGACAATATTCATCTATAGATAAAGAAGATGGGCGAGCTAAGCGCACAGAAATCCCATAGCTTCATGTATATAAAAGTCATATTCAATTGAAAATGTGAATTTGGTACTAGTATTTAGAGTAAAGTTCTAATTATTAATATTAATGAAATCTTGATAAACAAAACTTTTCTGGGGATTTTTTTTCCCGTTAAAATTTATTCTTTTATATGTATATGAAAAAATTGTATCCATTGGGCTCGTACCCTAGCAATAAAAATCCCGAGAATAGAATTTTCTTTTGAGACTAGCACGTTACCCACTAGAATACACAAGTTCTGGCCCTGGAGCAATGCGACTTAGACATGTTAGACGAGCTCACTTTTGTTTCCACTATAAATTCCCTTTGGTAAAAGTGATACCGAGATCAAAAGTGGGCCCATCAGAGTTTTATGGCCCCGGAGTCTGAGGATAAGCGGCATTTTATTCATGATAGTGGACGGAAAGATGTTCCATAATTTTGGTAAAAAAATGTATATTTTCATGCAAACTTTGAGGATCAACTTTCAGAAAAACCGGAGCGAAGTCTCACTCATATTGCAAAAATAGTGTTATAGTGTGAAACCTTAGTTTGCTTTATCTGGTATTAAGGGATTCTTCTTTTTTTTAACCCAGTATTTCTCACTGGGTGGGCTTTTACCTCCATACCTGGGTGTAAAGATCTTTTATGAAAATAAATATTTATTTATATACTTAACTCTATGAAAGCATCATTCACGGAAATTTTTCATCACATGACACGTTATTCTGGGTAAAAAAGAAGAATCCCTTGAAACCTTATCCAGACGAAGATGTTAAAGATCTCACATATTGTTTAATCCTCGCTATCCATTATTTCTAATATGTAAAAAAGCGTCGTTTTCCTAAGCAGCTTAATTTGCTTTTCTACATTCATCATAATTTTTCGCCGTGTCTCAAAAAATACTTTAAGGCTGAAAACCTAATTCCTTGTGACAAGACCTTCAGGTACCACTTTCATGAAAAAAATATATCTAACTTTTACCTTGGCCATAACTTTTAAACAGTTGGTGCCAAGGCCTTCGTACTTTGTGTATTCCTTGTGGAAAGACCTTTCAATGGGTATAAACATTTTTGACCTTTTGCCATAAACTTAATAGTTAAACCCACTTTTTAAAAACTTTAACCTTGGCCATATCTTTTGAACAGTTCATGTTTCCGAGTGTAATATATTCCTTGTGACAAGATCTTCCTCTGGATTCAGTGTACCAATAATTTTGACCTTGACTTTGGAGTTTGACTTGCATATGACAAACTTCAATCTTCAACATATGGGGCATCAGTGTTTAACAACTTAGAAGAACTTAGAATTAAATATATTAAGAGTTATTATTTTAAAAAACCATCAGTATTTAAATTAGTACAGCTACTGAGTTCTACAAATACTAAAGAACTATGTAACCTAAATTTTATTTTCTCATCAATTAAGAAATGATGTTCTAAATAATTAAATGATATTGTTATGTATTTAACACATGTATATTGTATAGCCTGTACAAATCTTACGTATGAATATTGTATACCTATGAGATGTATTATTTCCTATCTAGCTTGTAACACGAGCTTTGATTGGTTACAAAGTCGGGTGTAAATATCCGTGCACCCGACTTGAGCCGGGTGTAAATAAACGTGACGTCACAATGCATACATTCTCTATGATAAAAGCTAAAAATCATGTTTACAAAGCATTTTTATGGGTACAAAGGAAATAAATTCGTTAAATTTATTTCAACACCCTCTCGGCCTTCGGCCTCAGGGTGTACAATTAATTTTGAACCTGGATAACTGCATAACAAATACAAACACATATGCATTGAATGCATATTTATTTTATGTACATATAATTGGGTTACGGTAATTAAAAGTTATTTTTTTTTCCTGATTCCCACCGAGGGGAAACAAATATTAAAAGTTATTCAACAATCAACAATTAATTTTGCTGCTGCATAACAAAACAATATAACTTTTTATGAAATCCATTTTATTTTTGATGAGGAAACAAATAAATATTCACTTACAATGGTTTAACTTCAAAGATAATGTTATGAACATACAATATACATAAGACTTAAATTTACGATTTGCGTAGTGATACCTATTTCATAATAGAAAAGTCCTAAACTCTTACATTCTTTTTCTCATTAATTACTTTTAATTAGAGCATTACAATTTTGCCAAAATGCCAGTCATAAAACATTTAGGAATGACTAAAACCTGACCATCACTACTAGTACTAGTAGTTGTAAATCAAAATTTAATGATTATTATCTAATCGATTTGTTGTTAATTTTAATTATTTAATAAAAAATAATTTGTACAAATTCTTAACTTCATTTCATAAGAAATTTTCCTAGCGTCATTTGCATCTTCGTTTAAGTACTTTGAGTATACCTTTAAGGAGGCTGAGGGTCAGCAAATTAACCATCAGATTTAACTTAAATTTTTAGATTTGATATCTTAAGATGTCAACTATCATTCAGCAAAGAACAATTTGAATTCATACATTTTAGTTTTAAAATTTGATCAGTTTTTTTTTTTTTTTGGAACTCTTCTTGTAAAGGAGATCAAAATGGTCTGAAAATGGCCACAACCCCCAGCCCTCTTAATCACAATGTACTACATGCATGTTTACTCCTCCAGTGACAAATTGGTGTCATTACATGGAAGGTTTTAAACTCAACCTTCTTTATCACTTAATATTCCAGGTGTCTCCAGTTTTCTCATTTATACAAATGAATCTTAAGAAATATTTCAAAATTTTCATAGCACTTGTGTTTGTATATCTATGTACAACATATTTCACAGAACTTAAGGATATATAACACAATTTTTTTTTTGACACTTTCACTAAATCTTACAAAATTCTGCATTTTATGAAAATATCATTTAAGTTACCTTTTTTGATATTAATCTTTAACAAATATTGCTACATTTTTTTTCTATGTTTAGCGTCCTGGAAAATATAAGAAAAAACACACAACATCAGGAGTCATGAAATTGATAAATTTAGTCTTTTTTTTTGTAAATTTCTCCAAATAATCTGTACAGTAAGTTATAATGGGTGTATCATTTAATCCCTTGTTTTTGCTTAAGAATAGATATTTCTTCTATTAAAGCAGTTTAGTTAGTTCAAATCATTAAAAGGACGTGATTTTTATGACTTTTAAGCTTAAAATTGTGTTTTTTGTTTTGGCTTGTGTGTGTTTTGGAAAATAGGTAGGTAGGTTTTTAAAAAATTCAATAGCCTTATTTCTAAAAAAAAAGTTTGTGTTATTTATATATCCTTAAGACATTGTAAAAATTGCAAATTCATGAAATGTACAATGGTACATATAGGAGAGGAGTATATATGAAAATAGATGATTGAAAAAAAAAAAGTAAAAAAAAAAAAAAAATCTCAAGTAAAAATGGCGAGTCCAGAACCAAGAATCATGAAGAATCTTAAGCTCAAGTCAAAATCTTATTATTATGCTTAAATGTTGTAGAATGCAAGTAGACCAAAATTGATATATTGATTCACCAAAACTGTTGTTGATTAACAATTTTGAAATTATTTAATTATTAATAACATTTCATAGGCGATTGAAAAATTGACTTAAGTCTAAGTCTGTTTCATGATCCTGGGGCCTGAAAGTTTAGCTCAATAATGGTTTCGCACTTAACTAACTTGAACTGCTCAATCCAATGTAATACAAGCACCTACACTTGTGCTTTACACAACACTATGACCAAGTCTATTTCTTACAAAAATAAACTCCCTGCCTCTCTATTTTTCTTGATCAAACTCATTTGAGTCTGGAATGATGCAATTTCAACAAAGACCCCCCTCTTCCACTTTGTTAAGAGTGCAGCTACATGCACAACAGCAACTAATATTACAATAACTGTGAAACAATAATTTGTATTTTATAAAATTTGTCCGTGATTTTATGTGTATTGTTAAATGAAATAGAGTGCACATGCATTTACTAAATTTCTGAAAAATATTAACAAAGATTTGAACAATTAAAAAAAGAGGTAAATGATATACCCCTCTTTAATTGTTTCTAGCTAACAGGGTTTGATAGGAGGGGGTGGGGGTGGGGGGTGTGGGGTTAGATGTCCTTTAACAGTTGCAGTTGTCTTTACTTGTTGTACCTTTTCTACTGCTTTTGTCATTCAAAAAATACATATTTGTAGCTTTGTCTTGACTTCATATTGATCATGTCTTCTATGCAAAATCTTATAGTATATACCAAGTTGCTTTTTTGCAAAAGCATACTTGAATTTAAGCGGCACTTGTAATAATAATAAATTCACAGTATATGAGTTACATATCTCACAATAGGCTCTCTCTATGCAAAATCCTAAGGTAGATTCTAGCAGTTGCTTTTTTGCAAAAGCAAACTCAAAATTTAGCAGCATTTGCAATAATAATAAATCCATTGTATATGAGATACATATCTCACAAAAGGCTCCCTCTATGGAAAATCTTAAGGTACTAGTAGATACTAGCACTAGCAGCTGCTTTTTTGCAAAAGCAAACTCAATACATGTATGTACATGCAGCAGGACTTGAAATAATAAATTCATAGTTTATGAGTCACACATCTCAAAATAGGCTTGCAAGACGCCAATATATGGGCCACAAGACTCACCTGCGCAACAAAAGCCTTTCTCATTTTCACTTCCAGATTCTTTTTCCTATATAATCTTAAGAAAATTTTGATTGCTCAATGTAGATCAACTCTATCCCAAGGATGACATTATTTGAACAAACTTGATGCTACACCACTTTAAAGAGGCTGGGGGTGGCAGCCATTTTCAGCCTTTCTCTCCTTTAAAGGAAGAGCTCCATATAAAGATATACAAAAGTGATCAAATTTTAAAACTAAAATGTATGAATTTTTTCTTTGCCAAATGATGATTGACAGCTTAAGATACCATATCTAAAAAAAAATAGTTAAATCTGGTGGTTAATTTGTTGTTAATTTGTTGACCCCCAGCCTCCTTAAAATGCTTCTAAATAAAAATGATTTATCATTGCTTTTCTGTTTAACAGATTTTTATGTTTTCGAAGTATGGCTTCCTATTCTTGAAAAGATTTTTCAAAGAAATTTCCTCTACAAATACTTTGAGCACCCAGTAGTGTTTCTATCTTCCAATATTTTGTATGATCCCATCTGTTATTTCATATCTCCCCTTGAAACAGGATGTGGTCCTTCATTTGGAGAAACCTGTATTTCCTTCACCAACAGATACTTGGTGCTAAGTTTGGTTGATATTGGGCCCAATGGTTCCGGACAAGAAGAAATTGTAAACTGTTTGTCCTGATGCCAATGTCAAAGACAATAATACTAATGGCAAACAATGGACAAATTTTGATCAGAAAAGCTCACTCAAGCCTTCTACTTAGGTGAGCTAAAAAATTTAATTCCCCATTAAAGTATGCAATAGTGATTTCTATCATAAACACTTTTTTTGTTAATTTAGAATTTTACGAATTTTTACAATTATTTTTTTTATCAATGTAAAAAAAAAAAAATTAAAGTACATTGGGTCACTAGTTGAGAGCTTTAAGAATTTTTTCTTTTTTAATTTTTTGATTTTGGATATTTAAACCTAGATCACTGATAAAATAAATATGATCTTAGAAAAATATTTTTCAGAACCCCCCCCCCCCCCAAAAAAACAAATTTTGACAAGTGACAAAAACTGCCCACTTTAAAATATATATAAAGTTTGCAACAAACATTTACAGGTAACAAATCTTAACTAAAGAGAAAAAAAAAACTTTCTGGTGGTATTTTAGTGTTTAGTCTCATAATTCATAAATTTTACAACATTCTTAAGCATGGAGCACTGAGAAATCGGGGACATTTCCACAGAGATTTTCATCTGCTACAATAAGCCTGGTGTCATCAGGGTCGTAAGGACACACCCTCTTCTTCCCCTTGCGTCGACCTTTCATGGGCCCCGGTGACATGGGCTCGTCGATCTGAGACGTATTGCTGCTAATGGATGCGAGCGTGCTGAGCTGTCGCACCGTGGAGCGACGTCGGTGGAAGGACGTTAATTTTGTTGACACCGTGTTGTCTTTTGTCTCAGGTGCAGGGAATCCTGGAATCATATGCTTTCTCTCCATGGCTGTAAAAGGATTAACAGGGCATTAAGACATTTATGAATTGAGTTTTAATAAATTTGTTTACATGTATTTCTCTATTTTAAAGTTGTTTTTTGATATTGTTTATTTGAAGGCTAATTTGATTGATGCTTTGATTGCTTCTTATACTCAAGCTCTTGGGCTCAAAGTATACAAATTAAAAAATTTTCTTTCTTTCTTTCTTGACAATATTCAATTTCAATACATTAAACAAGAACAAGGGTTCCTGTAAGTTTGAATATGTAGAGTTATTCCCCTTCCCATGTTTATTCAAATTACGTAAAATAACTAGATTAGCTGTATCTTTCAAGCTTACAGGCAATGCCATTAACAATATTCCTTACAGAGCTTTACTTCCTTATGTATTCGTACCTTCGATCTTTAGTAGGGCCTGTTCTGCAGATAATCTGTTTTTAGGCACACCCTGTAGGAGGCCTCTGAGGAGTTCTCGGATTCCCACACTTCCTTTCTCTGTCAGCATCAATTTCAGCACCATGTCTGGATCCTTGGCATTCTGTCAAAGCACAAAATAATACTACAATAAAATTATCATTCCCTTTCATTTTACCTTGTGAAGGAATTTCTTTTCCTCTTTTAATCATACATAAATAATAAGCAAAGTAGTCTAAATATGAGTTTAAAATATTTTGAGAGAAAAGTGTGGAAGAAAAGAGAAAAAAAAAAATTAATAAATCCATATGATCTTCAAAAATTTTCAGTGATGTTTAATTTAAATTTGCCCTTTTGATCTCAATCTTGAAATATAAAGTCAACAACTTGTGTTACCATGAAGGCAATCTGAAGAGCTCAAAAAAAGTATATACATACAGCAATGATAATCTTCAGCCTCAGTTGGTTAGCATCTTCCACGCCCTTATAAGAGCTGGCTCCACCGGTGTAAAACTTCAGCTGTGTGTGGGATTTCTCAAGCATGAACTGTATCACAAGGCCAAAGGCAAACACATCCACCTTCCCGGTCAGGGAGAAGTCCTCTGCGTCTTTGAAGGCGTTGGGGTAACGGCTCTGCAGGAAGGACCGACACATTTCTGGGGCCATGTACTCGGAAGTCCACCCCTGGTAATCCTGTTCCTGCGTGGCCATTTTAGCAGAGCCAAAGTCGGTCAGCTTCACCACCATGTTGTCAGTGACACAGATGTTCTCAGCTGTGTAAAACCAGAAATTTCATAAAGATAGCTCAGATTTAAAAAAAAAGAAATTTCAATACAAGGTACTAAGAACCTTGTAACTGCCTTGTATGTCTTCAAATTGACTACAAGTTCCAGGGGGCAATGCATTTCACAGTTTTGAAGAGGGTTTAGTTCGTATCATGTATGATGCAAACAGTTTACTGCTTTATTGCCCATGAGTTGAGAATTTTCAAAGAAGTTACTAAAATATCTCTTGGTAAAATGCTCATTGCTATACACATGTATATAATTATAAAAACATATTGCTTATTTAATATTCATGAATAAAGAAACACAAAATTTTGGAAGAATGCTTATACTGTAGATCACTATATTTTCGCGACACCTTATTTTCGTGAGATAGTCATTGACTCTTTATAAGCAAGACAAAATTTTCACGAATTGTGGTTATTGCTCTACAAAATCTTTGGGAATAATAATATATGCGAGGATGAAATTTTTCGTGAGCAAGCTATCTCGCGTAATTACGCAAAAATAAAGTTCTCGCAAATAAAAAGTGATTTACAGTATTTTCATGGTTTTGTCCCACACTATGTACTTAAGTTAGTTGAAATAGTTTCATATGCCATTCCTGAGAAGCTGTTGAAAATGTTGAAGATTATGGACAATTTTGCCTTTTAAGATCATACAAAGGAAATGCATCCATCTTACTAAATTCTTCATGCAATTGTATGAAAATCTATCGATTAAGCTCAAATTCTAGAAGAGCAATAAAAATATAAATTTTTACGTTTGAGGTCCAGATGCTTGATCTGGTGTTGATCCAGGTACTTGAGGGCAGATAAAGCCTGTCTGGTGACGCTCCAGATGAGTTGCTCCTCCATCGTCTGTCTCCTCACAACAAAGGTCAACAAGTTCATCCCTAAAACAGTTTAATCAGTAATGGACATGGCCTTCACATACATGTTATAATGACCTTAAGATGGGGTGACACCTGGAATAGTATAGCAAGACAAGAAGTTCTTGAGATCTACTTCAAAGCACAATTTGTTAGAACTGATTTAATGCATTCAATAATAAACATTTACTTTAATTGTTTTTTTTTCTTAAAACAAAAATATATTGAATAAAAAGTTCCAACATATACTTATAAAACTGCCAAGTTATAATTTGAAAATTCATAGTTTCTCTCACATAATTTATATATACATCTATATGCATGCATTTTATTCTGAAAAATCTTTTGAATGGAAAGTACCCTCGCATACTTGTAAAACTTCCAAATTTTTCCAGCTATATAAAATATCAAAATTAAATTCTAACCTGCGTATTCCATGAGGATTTCTGAGATTCCGTCTCGTTTGATGTAACCATACAGAGCGGTGATGTTCTCATGCTCCAGATACAATAGCACCACCACTTCCTCTACTTTGAAGTCCTTCTGTACCTACAAAACAAGTACTTTGTTTTAACAACAGCAGTTTCATGAAGCTATGGTACTGTTATTCCGTAATGACTTTTATGATATTCATTTCTACATATTTATATGATATGCATACACTTCTGACTTAAAAGTGGCAATGTGTGAATCCTTTTATGAACCTTTCACTTAAAAACTTAGAAATTTAAAAACCCATTTAATGACTAAAGATTATGGCATTATGTTTCCATGAAGTTTCTTTGTATATGTAATAGAAAATTTGTGTAAACAGAACGACCATACCTATCCTAGCGAAGCACACAATAGCTTACCTTTTTGAGGACAAACTGTTCCTCTGTGTTGCTATCTTTACACAGGTCTACGCTCCCATAGGATCCCTCCCCCAGCTGCTTCAGGACGGTGAAATGTCCCTCATTGTACTCCTCATAACGAGAACTCTCCAACTTCTGTGTACAACAACACAAGCTTATTTTAGAGATAGTTGTAAAAAAAGATTTGCTGATGTCTGGACTCTGATTAATAGATCTGTTTGATAATTTATATGATCTTCCACGGTTTTGATTTTAAAAATGCAAAGATTTTCAAAGTTACATGCATGTCTACATTTATTTCAAAATTCAAGAAAGCAGTATTTCTATTTCTAACTGCTTATTTCCTTTTCCATGCAATTTTTTTATTAAAACCAAAGCAAGTTACACTTCTATTTGATTTAGAAAGTCACTAAAAATTTCATATCAAAGAATTTGTGGGCTCTGCTAGACAGTAGTTAGTTTCCAGCATGTGGGCCGGACAGAAACTTCTTGACCTGGTTTCTGCGTACCTGACAAATGACTCCAGTGGTGCCGTTCTGCAGTTTGTCCTGGGTGTTCAGTAGTTCAACTAGAGCATCCTTTTCTCCATCCACCACCTTACTGCAAAAAATAAATACAAAGTTGTGGATTTGTCTTCCTTCTGCATGTCAGAAATTTCAAAAGAGGAGAAAACAGGGGCTAAGGGGGAAATGTGGCCCAATGACGCAAGGCCATTTACTTGTAAAGATTTAATAGGTTTAATTCTTTTACATCTAGGAGAACAGGGGGAGGGGTTATTATTATTTTAAAGCCAGCTGAGGGTAGGGTAATTTTGAATATGTTATATCTGAAAATCTGGCTTTGTCTCCTAGTTCTACTTTCTTTAATTACATCTTAAGTTATTTTCAGTGTGTCTGACATCCTTTGATTGAAAATATGAAACATAAAACAAGTTTGAAACTAGCTTTTAATACTAAAGAGTATTCTTGTGGTAAAAAATTTCTTACCCCTCTTCAAAACTTTTCTTCCTCTCCTTGACCTTTGGAATCTCTCCAATCTCCTGCATCAACTCTAAAATCTCGTTCAGGTCATCTATTCCTCCTCCAGTTCTCATCTGTATTCCCAGCTGTCCTGTGTCTGTGATCTGCGGCTCAGGAGCTGGATCCACCACTCTGGCTTTGTAATCTTCATGCTTTGGTTTCAGGTCAAAAACTTGATCCTCCTCCTCAGTAACCAGTTTAGTTGACATATGCAGCTTCTTTTTCGGGACTGGTACATGTCTTGGTGGAGGGGAAGAAGTCGGATGGGTCCAAACCGAGGAATTCATGGTCTGGTTCAGCTGAAGTGTGCTTTCTGCCCCGAGGTCTTTGAACTCTTTGGGAAAATCAATCTTTGATGAAGTGGTGTCCTCTTCTTCATCGCTGTCGATCAAGATGACCTCATCTGGAGAAGGGGGAGGTTCAAGGACTCTTGTTGCCTTGGAGACATTTAGTTTGATCTTTCCTGGTGGTTGGTTGCTGGGGTTAAATCCATGGTGTTTTTGTTGTGAGTTTGTGCTCAGCTGCTGTCTCAAATAATTCAGGTAGGAGATATCATTACCTGTTGCAAAAGCAAGTCAGAATAAGAATTTCAGAGCAACAAATATTCCACTCAAATGTCTGTCCTTATATAAATTTAGCAAATTGTTGCAAATGGTTGACCAAGAAAAATCCTGCTCTACATTTTGTTATACTAACATATTAGGCTTGTACATCTGTGTTAAGCTATGTATATTTTTAAATGTCTTCAATTCATTCTCAGTAAAATTTGAATATCATTTAGAACAATATCCATGCCATTTAACATTTTGTAAAATCACATATTTTCGAGGTTTGTGGACAATATATTTTTAATGAATTGATTTTTCTTTATGGCTGAAGAATTTTTTTTTTGAAATTTTTATGAATAATATATATGTTTAAATTGAATTTCATGTAATTTCTGGACATAAATATGTACCTAAATACCGGTATTTATCTTATCACTACCTTGAAAAGAAATCGCGAAAAACTTAAACCCCATGAAAATATAGCTGAATTACAAATTTTAATACTACTGGGTGTAAAATGTTGACAAATTACCATAGTTTGTAATCTCAGGCTGGGGTAGTTTGGATACCTCTCGGCCATCATTCAACAACATGGTATGACTCTCCCCATCTTCCATGGGCTGCTGGTATACCAGCCTCTTCATACTGTCTGAGACTGAAAAAAAAATCAGCAGGATACAGTAATACAATGTGTAGACAGATTTAAATCATTATATCAGTGTTCTTACTTCCTCTGTCTGAAAATCAATGAAATGAATTAACATGGCATTCAACTCAAATCAAGGGATACATACATTCATTCAGTTGCATTGCTTTTGATGAAACATTGTTTGGCACGTATGTTATTTATTGGAAATATATACAAATGTTAAAACATACATAAATAAGAATTTTTCTCTCTTCAATATTTAATTTATTTTGAATTTTCTGACATGGGTGTGGCTTTTTGTTTTTCAAATATGTACAGTCCTATTACGAAACAAATAAAAAGGGTTGTTTTAATAAATTGTACCTTTAATATTTTACTTCATACTTTTTAAATAACATGATCAATATTGTCTTATAAAAATATTCACAAAAAACATGAGGAAGTGATATTGTAACCCCCCCCCCCATCCTCCATCTTATTTCTTCAATTTTTCTAATTATACAGATTTTATCTCAATATATCTAACTTTTTAAATATGTAGAAGTCAAATACTAAATGTCACAATGACTAATAACTCACATTGAATCATGAATTAATCCAAAAAATCTACACAAAAATAACGTTACAGAACTTCTGATGAAATTTTCCAAAAGGGGATTTACAAACTGGAAATCCCCTTACACAATAATACACATCTGGAGGAATATACACCGTAACCTCATTTGTTGGATCAGGAAAAAGCTCTTATCATTTATTATAACAAAATATTGTAAATACAATTAAATTTACGCTTATAACATTAAAAGAAGTTGTAAAATATGCCTAAATCTCAAAACGAAAATATTTACATTGATCAAAATGGCGTCAACTGACGTGTGACGATTTAAAATACCTGGGATTCCAATGAAATCGGTATTGTCATAAAATTAAATATGTAATTACTTTGCAAAAAGCTGTTGTTCTTACCTGGTTTACCATAAAAACTTGTCTTTCTATCTACTTTTATCAATAACTGATTTTTTCCTCGTTCTATAATTTCTCATTGTTTTCGCGAACTGTCGGTTTTAGACAGCTCGTTCGTCTTTTTATTCTCAAGTAATTGCCTGACATGAACGGTTTCTTTTTCATTAGGATAGATACATTTGTATGTAAACAATCTTTTGAATTAACTTAAACAAGTAAATTGATAATGTCTGGTTATTATTTTTTCCTGAATTCGTTTGATCGGACGTAACAAAGATTTTAAAAAGGGGGAGGGGGTTTAAAAGAAGAAACAATAATTGAAAGCTGTCAGAACTTAAAATTTCAACAGGGGGAGTGGGTTCGTAGCTGGGCACTTGGTACTTTTCAAATTCTACATTTCACCAGTTTGACCTTACAGCAGACCTCTGACTTTCCAGCAACAAAAAGAGGCATACTTGGTATTTATAGTCATTGGAGACCATTTGGTAAAAGTGAGACTGGGATCAAAAGTGAGCTCACCAAAGTTTTATGCCCCCCCCCCCCCCCCGGACAAGGAACCGAATTTCCCATCAATCTGTTTGATTGAATTTCAATGGGTACTAATTTTGCTCCATGGACATACATTTTTTTCATTCTCGTGACAATTTAATTACTCTTTTTTTAAAATCCTACATAAAAAAGATTTCTTGCTAATTAATATAAAAATATACCGACTACAATGTATAATTATTAGTATTTTTTGAATTATGATTCAATATACCCAGTAACAAACTGAACTCAAAATAACAAAAATAAAAACAAAAAAAACATCACATACTTTGGCACATCTGTTTCGTATTTGGATATTTTCCTTTTTTTTTTTTATTTTCATGACCAACAAGTAAGGATTTTCATTATTACTACTGAGTAGCATAACACAAAGAAGATCAATGCTTACAAGAGGAGCACTAGTATGCAAAGATTCATAATTCATGAAAACTAAAAGTTTTTCAAGTTGTTTTTGATAATTTCAAACGCTGTGGATACCGTGACTGATATATTAAAAAGGAGATCAGAGAAATCAATTATTAGCAAGTTGAAACTCAGTGTACATAATCTTGCCATAGAAAAAGAAAGACATTTGTCTATATCTAAAAATTAATTTCAAGATTTTGTAAAACTTTCAACACAGCTAGGGGAAGTTGATTTTATTTGAAGATGAATTTCATTTTCTATTCAGTTTCCAAAAATACAATATTCATAGGTTAACTTGTCGTCACCACGTGATGTTGGAGAGCTGCAAATTTATACATGTGCTCGGTTACTTACAGTATTTGAGGGATCATTTCGTGCCAGCAAATACTGCAATCGGAATCTCTTTTTTACGGTCTCATCAGAGTATAAAGTATGAATGAATGATTGAACGGTCTCATCCGAAGGAACGGTTCCTAAGTCACACAGCGGGATTCGAAACCGCGACATTATATATGATCAGCTGATTCAGCTCCTTACTCCGCGACTCTAGTTCAAACGCTCTGACCACTGCCCTACCAACAGATCTTTTTTTAAATTTTTTAAACCAGACAAGGTTAATGGCAAATAAGTTGGAAGATAAATGGGTTTCAGTAATCTCGATTTATCCCAACCCTGAAAATTTCAAGGAATCCTTGTTTGATCTGCTTAATATTAGATATAAATGTTAGATTGCTTCGATATCTTCATATTGCTTCTCAAATTAACTGGGGTTCGAGGTATGGCGCCAATTGACTTCTATAGTTAAGCATTATTGCAGTTTCTGGATCGTTTTTCCTCTATCTCCAGTTCTCGGGCTCTCTTTTTTGAACAAATTCAAAGGATAAAAATGTTTTGTTTCCAACATATTTTATTGAGTACATCAAAAGGATTGAAAAAAATTCTATACAACTATGTTTCTACATCTTTAAAACAAGAAGTCAAAAAGGTTAAGTGAGACTAAATTAATTTAGTTAGTGTTGTTGTTGCCCGGTGAGACACCTTCCCTGTATGTTTGAAATGATAAAGAGTACAGAGATACAATTATTTCTTCATGTACACGTTCCTATAGGAGATGCTGAAAGTAACATCACTTAATGATACAACCTAGTCCTTGTTGCACAAGGGAGTACATAGGGTAAAGCACGTGATGATAGCGGATCAATATGTCTAAGTGCACAACATGCCATCGTACCTTTAACCAAAATGAGTATTTGTTCAAGCGAGAGAAAACTGAGGTTATATACGGACTGTTGTCTATATTGAACATCGACTCAGTAACAAAATTTAGATAAATTCGAAAACAATGACTGATACATTCTTAACGGTTCACAAAAGAAAAATCTGCAGCACATCGCTCCGACAGCTAGTCTGATCCAGAGACAGTGCCAGTGTGGTGTTGTCTTTCGATACACAAACGGCCTGGGGACTAATGATACCATCATGGCGACACAAAAATTCTTCCTTCAGTCTTCCATTCTCATCAACTCTGTGAACAGTGTCCGAACCCCACCCCGCGATGAACATATCGCCATTCGATGTTAGGGCCAGCCCACGTGGGCTCTTCATGTTAGCGTGTGTGTAGTGGAACCGTCTGTACACTGATCTAGTGATAGAAGTTACTCTATTATTCTGACTGTCGCTGACAAAATACGAGTTTCCAGTTCCATCAAATGCGACATACCATGGACGGAGAAACAAAGACTGCAAGTTCTCTTCTGGAGTTAGATTCATTAACTCTTCCCCTTTTCTTGAAAGGACTCGGACAGAGGCGGGTGATGCAAAAGGACACGTAACTACAAATTTATCCTCTCTGAAAGAATAACTTATTCCGTAGCAGCGTTCACTTATCTTCAGTTCTTCTTGCAAATTTATTCCAGCCAAGACCTTGAAGACCAATATTTTCATTTCCTCTGGAGCCGTCACAGCAACCACGTGATCAGTGAGGCACGTTGCGTCGAAAGGCGTCTGTTCGAGGAAGTGCTCCGACTTCATCTGAAACTGATTGTCGTAAAGCTTTAGTTTTTTGTTTCCTTTGTCACAAAGAAACCAGCCCAGTGAAGGCAGAGAGAGAATTCCTGTAATCAGACAAGCATTCTCGTCAGACCGAGTTTTAACTGTCACGGTTCTGTCAGCTGACCTTCGCTTTATCTCTGTATGTTTTGGCGTATACTCTGTCTTTCTGGATTTAGAACCCACCTGTTGTGTCTTCTTATTGTTTCCACTGCCATTCACGACTAGCTCTCCAACTGAAGTCAAAGAGTTCAGCACATCATCTAGTCGACTGTCGATTACAAAATTAACCGTTGGTAATCCATGCAGTTCTTTATATTCTTCAATAACTGTCGAGTGAGTGACATTCCTTCTTCTAACTTGTTGGAGGCATTGCAAGATGTGAACATCTGTACCATGATCTTTCACGTTGTCAAGCAATTGGTTTGTGTGTGAACATTCTGCATTCAAGGATTCTAATTTTTGAATGTCATGCTGTAACTTTTCTCGGAATTCATTTTCTATCCCAGCAAGTTTTTCTAAAGACTGTCGTTCGTATTTACTAAACATTTCATCCACACGTTTTCGAACACTTCGAATACTATTGCTTAGATTCAAGAACGAGTTATCAAGTTCACCGAGGGATGCCTGCGACGCCTGCAATGCGTTATTAGTGATCTGAAGGTGTTCCAAAGTATTTGATGACAACTCTCGAATTTCCCGTGACTTGACTTTAACTTCGTCATTAACGGTCTTGATCGATGTACAATCTTTGTGCTTCTCTGCGGCACAAAGTGAACATATTAATTCGTCATGAGTTTCGCAAAATGACGTCAGCGGTTGGAGTTCATGAGACAAACAGTTTGAATCAAAAATTATCTTCTTTGTTTCTCTCGATTTGACTTCCTTTAGATCTAGGATGGAATGTTTCATCGTAGTTTTTAGTGAACCGTGCACGTCGAGGCAATTTACACAGAGAGTCTCGCGGCAAGTGCGACACCATTTACTTCCGGTTGTTGACTTCCCCTTCCGGTTGCAAGAAGAACAAAAGATATCATCTATTTTCAGTTTATATACTTCAGTAAGGGCAGACACAAAGTCACTCGGTGGAAGTTGCTCAACCCAATCTTCGGGAGATTTGTTTTTGGTTGGCGTAAGCTGTTTACAGATTGGACACGAATATGCATCTAGTCTTGTACTTAAATTTTCTTTCAGGTCATTTCGAATACACTCTTTGCAGAAATCATGCAAACACTCTAAATGGCAAGGGTCGGTAAATTTTTTGAAACAAATTTTGCAGGTTATAAAGGCTGAATCCATTGTATCCGCTCACATTGATCTGTTAAAAATAAATTGAACATGAATATTGGATCGTTTACATGTATTTACATGTACATTGTTCTTCTGTAAAAACAGATATACACAGAAACCATACAATTGTCTCAAATGTCCATTTATAATATATTCCAAAGAAAAAAAAACAATCAGATTACATGCATATTGGTACAAAAAAACTACAAATATATTATGATCGATATACAACTCAGATTCGTTTCTTACTATATTAGTACATAAAGAAATTTGATTAGATTGATTATTGAGACAATCAAGATAGTTTTTGAAAATTTTCTTGACATTGTATGAAAATTTAAATAGTTTTAAATGAAGATGATAAAGTTATCGTTACCTCTAAATCTTGCACAAGACTGCAGATATACGATATACATAGGTTCCAATTTGAAAGAAAATCTACCGCAAGCGAATGGCGTGACGCTGTTCTAGTTATATGACTGGATCTTAATTCAAACACAAAATAATTTCCATTGAGTATGTACATAAAATCTGTATATGTACGTCGTGAAGGTACTTTGAAGAAAAGAGTGCACTTTAAAATTAAAATTTGGTTATAAAATGTGTGGAACATATTGATTTTGTTTTTTAAATTATATATAGATAAAATCTGAACATAAACCCTGGGTACTATATAGCAAAGAATATGCTTTATACACGTTATTTCCTTTCGGCGATGGCAAACATTGATTTCAGACAAACCAGGGGAAATGAATTTTAAAAGAAGTCAATAAAGGGCCAATATAAAAGATCAATAACCGATATTGAGCACAGCGAATTCTTCTTTATAGAAATAATGATGTAAAGTCACGCTCTGCTAAAGAGCCGGTTTTACTTAAAAGTGTCTTAAGATCATTTCTAAACACACTTTTATTAAACATTTTTTAAAAGACGTATATATTATATATATACGTGTTTTAAATCGTATGCACAGCATATCTAGAAGAAATCCCATGGGCGGATACCCGGATATAGGATTTGTGATTTCGGAGGGGTGGGGGGGGGGGTTACTTGAAAAACGTTCAGGCATTTTTATAGATCGATATGAAGTCACAAACCAGATTGCTACTCCGTAAAATTTTACAGGTTTTGAATTAAAATATACAAATACAAGGCCGTAAAAACTTTACGACTTTTAGTAAAACTCGGCACCGTAAGAGCTGAAACTTAAGTGGAAGCATCATGGGGCAGTGTAGATTCTAAAATGTTAAAATCATCATCCCCGGGGTACGTAGGGCGGGGCCACAATTAATAGGGAATCCAAGTTTTATATAGAAATATATTTGGAAAAATCTTTAAAAGTCTTCTTCTCAAGAACCACTGGGCTAGAAAAGCTTAAACTAATGAGGAAGCATCCTGGGGTATTGTAGGTTCTAAATTGTTCAAATCATGACCCCTGGGGGAAGGGCGGGCCACAATAAGAATTACATGGGGGTGGGGGATTTGGTAAAGAAGGGCATGGTAAAAGATACTCAGGTGAGTAATGAGGTCCCTGGGCCTCTAGTTATTTTTACAATATCAAAAAATTAAATTAAAAAAAGGAAACTGTGGAAAAAATCTACATCAATCAACTACTTTCAATTAACTTTTTAAGAGATTTAGGCCTGTATATAAATACATTTTTTGCTTGGATCCACACAATCTAAATATTTCGCGTTGTGATTTAATGCAACAAACCATTTTTGTTCTAATCAATTTATTTATTTATTGACAAGCTATTAATTTTTCTTTCTTTCTCTCTCTCTCTCTCTCTCTCTCTCTCTTTTTGGAGATAAATAAATGTAAAAGAAACAAATATTTTCACTCAGATTTGAACCGAATATTCAATGTGCGAGATAACAAACTAAAAAATAAATCGACCAATCATATACATCGTAACAAAAACTTTCGGAAAATAGTAAACAGCAGAGGGCGATGTCTGCCACTTGTGAACTTCCGGAATAACGAGTAGCAGTTTCCTGAACAAATTTTGTATCAGAATGTAGACACAGAGTGATACACACAAGATGTACAAAGTTTAAACGGAAAGTGGAGCGTGTAAATGATAAAACAGGGGACTTCGTTATCCGTGATTAACATCTACTGGTGCCCAATAACCAGCAAAGGGCCTATTCAGGAAAAAAAAAATCATAAACTTTCATTTTAGTTTCATTTCATAGTACAAAGTCAGAATAATTTCAAATTAAAACGAAATAAGACAAGCCCAAAGAACCTCAGAAAGCTTACAGATTTTTAATGAATTGAAATTAAACGTTTCAAGACCACCACAACCTTTTCGATTTATCAGATGATAACTTTTTTAGAAGTTGTGAGACAGAAATACCCTGTACACCGTGGTGTGCTTGAAAACTTATGAAACACCAAAGAGACAAATTTTCCTGTTCCTGTTAACCTAGTTTTTGAACATTTAAAAAGAAGCTAATTATAAAAACTAATCACAATGAGTTTTGATTTGGGAAACACAGGCTCGGATGATGAGGAATACGATCCGTATTCGATGATGCCTGTCACTAAACTGGTGGCCTTGTATGATTATTCTTATCAAGATGACGATGGTCACATAGTTCATATGAAAGAAGGAGAAAAATATCATTTAATCCAGAAAGAGGGGGATTGGTGGGAGGTGGTCAGAGACATGGGTAATTTGGACGATCTCTCGTTCTACGTTCCTGCTAATTATGTGCGTGTTGTTGACAACGGCGGAAGTAATGTGGATGCCACAACAAAAACGGATGATTCAGGACTTGAGAGGGATGAAGAAATCAGATCAGGAAATAGCACACTAGATGAAGAATCCTCTGACCTCTCAAGTACACAAGTGACTCCGGAAAAAAATGTCGGCAAAACAGAAAATGGAGTGGAGGGATTAAATAGCAAGATGGAGTCTGAATTAAGCAGTGAAGTAACATTCGAGCGTAAACAATCAACCACCTTCACAACATTCGGGAATCAGACCACTGGGTCTTTAAATCTGAACACTAAGGTTGCGGAAAACACAGGATATAGACGAAGTTTTTCTGATGAAGGAGATTATGTCAATTTAGACGAGTATAGAATTAATGCTGGACTGAACTCGGAAAGAAGGGATGGAACACAAGTAAGTTAATATGTAGTCATTGTATTTAATTACCTAAACAAAACATCTTATTATGAAAATGTATGAAAACATGGCAAGTGTTTATACTGTTGTTCTCAAACAGTAGAAGAATTTTCTACTTAGATATATTTATGTCCACTTGAAGTTTCAGCATACAGTAGTTATAGTGTTATAGACAGTAGTTAACTAGTTATCGTGTTATTGTACATTTTATAAAATGTACATGAAGGATGATCATTAAAACCTGTTAGTGTAATTAGTTAGTTAATTTAGGGATGAGATGAAACACTTCCTTTACAATACATAATGTATCATATAATTATGTCACACTGACAATATTGTTGTTTTTGCATGATGCATTCTGACTTTGTACAGAAGAAAACTAGAAGAATAAACTGACTGACCATTAGGGGCACTATTCTACTGAAAACATTAGTCTTTTGACCTAAAAAAAGGGGGTCTTCCGCAGGGTATATGGAGGTAAAATCCACCTGTGACGTCATTCTTTTGTTTGAGCGCTCCATTACTTTTAAGGAATGGAGAGTTGCAAATTTCATTGATAACGGAATTTCTTTTGTTCTTATTCTCCTTTCCGTGCCTCTACTGAGGAAAGAACTTAGAAAATTTTTTAGAAGAGTTTAAGAAAATTTAAGTGTTATTTATCACATAATGAAAATTTTATTGCCCATTGTGAGAATCGAACCCGGTATCCTCCGCTTTCTAGTTGGGTATTCGTTTCACTGAGCTATCGAAGCTGTTGCGAAACACTAGATTGGAATAACTTTTGTATACTTTTTTTCGCCTTACTTTCTATAGTACATAAATAATAAATACTATATATATATAATATCTGTTAACAGCGTATCATAGAAATATTCTTTATTTTATATTAACGAGTATTAAATAAAAGCATTAAAAAGGCGGATTTTACGCGGGTTAATATACTCGTAGCGCTCCATTCCTTAAAAGTAATGGGCCTCGGCCCTTTCGGGGCCTCGGCTCCATTACATTTAAGGAATGGAGCTCCACTCGTACATTAACCCTTACGTATTGTATAAAATTTCACTGCAAAAAGCTCAAAGCTTCTCAAGAAATCATGCGGAAAAGAAAGTGTTAAAACAGACAGAATTTATAATTTTATTTCCTTGACCTTTTGATCTCAAAATCAATAGGGATCTTCCTTATGCCACAGGGTATTGTTATAAAATTTCATTGCAAAAGCTCAAAAGTTTCTCAAGATATTGCATGGAAATAAAAGTGTTACTTACAGAAAGACAGGCTGACAGGTGGACAGAATTTCCTTTTACAGTGATTAAGCGATGGACAATTAATATAAAGCAGTTTATGCAGATATTTTTGGGTCACACAGGATATTTCAGGAAAACACAGGATGAAAGTAAATTTTTGTCAGCTAATTCCATAGCCTTCAAATACAGGTACAAATGATCCAAGGTGTGCAAAGTGATGCAGAACCTCCAATGAAATCTCTTGGTTCATGCAGCTTTTATGTACCCAAGTGCGATATATTTTCTTTAAACAAAATTTTTATAACTTTGAGTAAATTGAAATAGTAAAACTGAAAACTGGACACAGATATCAGACTACCACGGGTATCTAACGTTAGTCAGTTGTAAAAAAAATCATGCATCTGACCGAGGCATTGAATTGGTTACTGGCCCAATATGGTCTCGGATGTCTTTAGCGGAGACTGAAAATGGGGGAAAAAACTCAAACTTGTAATGAGATTTCTTAATTCTTCATCATGTTCATGTTGTTAGAAAAAAAATTGGTGTATTTTATTACGGTTTATCGAGATTATAACCATGATACATGTTGGAAAACTGATCTATAGTGACTTATCATGATTATAAATCAGATATCATATAGAATAAATGAGAGACAAACAAGGTCTGCATATTGAAATAACATTTTTGAAATCCAAGGGAGAGCTAATTGGGGTAGCCTAGGTTTCCTTAAGACTATTTGTGGCATTGTACTTGTAATTAATGTCTAAATGTGTATACCTGGTTATTACAGCATTGTTTTCAAACAAAATAGGCATTATGTCACAAACAAACATAGGTCTTATTTTTAAGTACATGTACTAACTGGTTAGATTAACTGCATTGGACAATTCATCAGTACATTGTTTTGGAAATTTCTTTGGAATGTCATTATGTGCATCTTAACTTTCATGAGCAAGAATGACCAAAGCGTCTATTAGTCATAACAATATATTTCCTGAAAGTGAATTTTGTTCCAAAAATGATCCACAGAGCAGGAACATTTTAATTTATATATATCTTGAAGAGCTTGACACAAATGTTGCTGAACACATGCTAAATGCACTTAGTGATCTATATCTATATTTGAAGATTCAATCACTTGTCCCTGTAGGCATGCTTCATCAAAATCTGTGGTCTGCAGGCTTTTTGTAGTGTTTCTTTAAGCTGTGCTCAATAAGTTTAGCAGATAAATTTTATAGGGAGGTTTGAGGGAGTTGAACTTGAACATATCTCAAACATTGATATCTCAAAATACCACACCGAAAAGGAAATCTTGAGCACTTATTCTTATAGAATTTTAGCCTTGGTATCTTGATCAAAGTCTTCAATACTTCAATTTTTTTGTCTTGAACCCAGGAAGTTAGAGGATTCAAGAACAATTAAGGTTTGACTGTATCAATTCAAAGTTGTAAATACATGTTATGGTGCACAGTAATACCTTGTTATCTCAAACGCTATGGGACCAAGAAAAAATTCAAGATATGCAAGTGTGCGAGATATCATTAATAATCAAGGGAAAATACTTCAAATATAAGGGGTTGAGACTTAATTCAAATTACTTCGGCATATTCATGGTATTCGAAATATCAGTGTTTGAGATATTGAAGTTCAACTGTATTTCAAAACATTATCCCCGAAGCCTCAATCCATATAGTCCAAAATTTCTGACATTTTCCAGGATTTTTTTTATCTTTTAATAAAGATTTGATATTTGAGATGCAGGAAAAACAGTTTAATGAGGTGGGTCAGAAATGAACAGGGAGGAAAAGTAAAACCAGAAATAAAAATAGTACGATTAGTATTTCCTCGGGCTGAATAGGGGAAAAAGTCAGAGGTCAATCAATTGCAACAAGATATAAGGACAATGTTTTCTTGGCACATCAAATATCAAAATCATCAAAAAATCCTGGAAAATGTTTGAATTATTTTGGACCTGTAGAAAATCCTTATGACAAACATGAAAATTTTCTAAGGTATTTGAAATGAATCTTTCAGATTTTTAAATCTAGCACCTGGCCATAGTGAAGTTAAATTGCATACAAGGTTTATTTTTGATATTCCACTGTTAAGTTTTTTTAGGCTGTGAAATTGATGCAAGTTATCTCCCTTTGTGTACATGTTTACTGTTTACATGTGTATTATATATCTACTTCCTGTTTTATTTTGCTTTAAGACTGAATCATACAGCATATAATGTGTACATTGATCACATATTTATATCACACTCCTAAAGAAAAATAATTTATTCATGAATGCATGTAAACTTGCATGTAATTATATTGTAGGTTGAAATGAAAAAAAAATGAAATGTTACTTGGTTTTAGAATTGATGAATATCTAAGATCACGTAAATAGAAAATAAGACTTGATGTCAGAAACTCTCAGTGTTTTTCGACCTGGGTCCAATTTATCACTGACTTAAATTATTATTTCAAGACTAATTTTTCTTAAATGTCAACATTAAAAGTTTTACAATTTACCTCAGAAATAAGCTATTTTAAAATTCTCAACAAATTTTTGCATATATTTGCAGTTGAAACTGGTGCCAAAATGCATAAACAATGCACTACATTGTCACTATTTAATTAATGCTTTTGAAGATGTTGGAATGCATCAGGCTACATTTTAAGCATTGATCAAATATAGCTTTTAATGGTTTATTTTGGTCAGTGTAAGTATTGTTTGCAGGTTAAAGTAAACCAACCCTCCCACTTGTTCAGTATACATGTTAATATGTGTTATTATAATTATTTGCTTATGGTACATGTAACCATGATAATGTGATTTAAACATGATCAGATGTTAAACATGTTAAAATTTGTTTTGAATTAATGTTGTCTACAATAACCTATATAATGTGTATGCTAGATATAGATTGCTGCATGTGGCTTAATGAAATGAATTTGTTGTATGTTAGAATTAGGCCATTCCAAGTTTTTCCTATGTTTAGCGTTCTCGTGCGCCTTGGTTTTTGACACCCCATGTCAGAAAAAACAAACAGAATCAGGAGTCCGAAAATTAATCATTAAGGTCAAAATTTATGATTTCCCGCAATATCTCTAAGTATTTGTATAATACTTCAATGATGGAATAGTTTCAGTATTTAATACATTGATTCTGCTGAAGTAAATAACTTTCTTTATATAAAAAATAGATAAATGAAATCATATCTTTTTAATTTTACTTATACACTTTACAAAAATATGTTTTATACTTGTGTGTTTTTTGCAAACTTTTAAAACATATTTGAGTTGATAAAAAAACTTGGAATGGCCTTATATGTAAAACACTCAATTTTCAGTATTTCCGAAAACTTAAAAAATGTTATTACTAAATATTAACAATACTACTAATATATATATTCATATACATTTTAATAATTTTGTATAGGTCATATCAGTTCCTTAAATGTGCATTGGACAGATTTAATTTAATATAGCATGAATATGATAGGTCTATAGTGAGCCTGATATGCATGAAAAAAATTGATCACATTTTTAAAATTCACGGCTGCACTTAAGATTTTAATTTTGAAATGGACAAAATCTATCACATGATAGATGTATACAGACATAATAAACTGTATAGTTGTTTAAACATAAGAGGTGTTCCCCAGGCTAGTGGGGATATAGATGTAACAGGATGTAGTCTCAATAGCTCCACTATTATTAGTATTAACTGACGGAGAGGAAACTAGATGTATATACATACACA